GTCACGTGGGTCCATGCGAGTGGTCCGTTTCGACAATTGTGCCACATTTTCCAATGTGAGCGGTGGCCACTATGAAGAGCACTGAACAGCCGCCATTCAGCAAGACCATGCACACAAACAGTGACAGTTGAGAGAGACACACTCACAAAGCCCTACACACACACACACACAAGTTTAAAGCCTTGAACACAACCAATGCGACAGTAACAAGGGCGACGATAGCTACGACAACAGCGCAGCGTGTGAACGAGACCGTGGAACCAATGGTTACACACACACACACACAAGTATACAGCCTTGAACACAACCAATGCGACAGTAACAAGGGCGACGATAGCTACGACAACAGCGCAGCGTGTGAACGAGACCGTGGGAACCAATGGTCTGGACAGCTGCGGGCCTATCGTTTGTCTTCAGTTGAGTTTCTCACGCTCTTTCGCTGTCATATTTGTACCCGGTGCGTTCGTAAGTCTCCACTTATCGGCTAGTTCGCACAGTCATGCGTTTGTAGCAGAGCAAAGCATTACATGTGCATTCGCGATTGGGCTCTGTACCACAGAAGAGGGCGCACCCATCCGATTCCACCGTTGCAGGTGGCCAGTAAACCGATTCTCAGTTGGGCTTTTGGACCGGCCTGTTCCGACCGCACCGTGTCGCAACGTCTCCAAACGCTGGAAGCCAAAAGACATCTGATTAGCGGATGAAATATCCGCTGATGCTACTTCATATCCCGATGAATCCTAACCTGACGAACACACAATTCCCGCTGCTCCCTCCTTCGACAACATTCACTGATCTAAAGACGGAAGTGTACGGGACAGATCCGACCGTCAATCAAGGCAAACGACCTCGCTATTCCTCTATCTCTCCATTGTACCTAGGACTTCATACAACGGATACTAGCTCGATGCCATCAAGTACCATGTCAGGATTCACTTATCGTACAGGAGTCTGTCAAGAAGATGCGTTCCGTTCACTACTTGAAACAGACCTATTCGGATCCGGTCCACCGGAGGTGGCTGAAAAGGAAAACATGCGTGCAAAAATCATGTTGGATAGCTGCAGTGAGTTGCTTCGTTCGGAAGAGGTTCTCACCTGCAAAGTTGAACCACCAGCAACGTTCTCACCTGCAAAGTTGAACAACAGCACCAGCAACAACAACAACAACAACGACACCGAGCATCAGCAAGTGACCTAGAAGGAGTACCGTTGAGCTTTAAAACAGAAATTAGCTTCGAAAGTCAAACGGACAGAATCGATTCAGTCGAACACCAGGATGAAAGTGAGTTTTGAGTTTAGTTTCACCAGGGGCGTACCAAGTATTAGTTTAACTCAGCAGTAGAAATGGATGATAGACAAGAATCTCTATAGCTTGTTGGATACGTATCATACAGAGCCACTGAAACCCTAAAATTGGGGATCCCATGCATTTTCATCGAAGAGCGTTTTAGGTAGAGAGTGAAGTGAAGAAAGGAAGATTGCTTCCTTCAAATACCCAGTCAAGAGTACGGGAATGTTACGTATGACAGCAGGGTCCGTCAACGAAGCCTCCGTAGTTTTAGAGATGTCATTGCGTTGCTGTAGCCCCTTACAGATAGGCTTTCTTAGTGAAAGGGCGAGATGGCCCAAGTGGTTAGAGTGCGAATTACTGACCGGTGAAGAAAGGAAGATTGCTTCCTTCAAATACCCAGTCAAGAGTACGGGAATGTTACGTATGACAGCAGGGTCCGTCAACGAAGCCTCCGTAGTTTTAGAGATGTCATTGCGTTGCTGTAGCCCCTTACAGATAGGCTTTCTTAGTGAAAGGGCGAGATGGCCCAAGTGGTTAGAGTGCGAATTTACTGACCGGAAGGTCCGTGGTTCCAATCCGACCTCCGCCTCTCGACTTCCCCTGTCTAGGCTTGGGTAACCTGGCGGTATCCCAGCCCTCGTGCTTCCTTCGGGTGGCATGGCAGCTAGGCACCGAAAGGGTGCTACAGCTGAACGCTTTGCTTCTTTCTTGGTGAAAACCTCATCTCCTTTGTAGTAGGTCTCATGGAAAACAGGTAACGACGCTTACTAAACCACTCAGCTGGGTTTAATAATCACAGATCATACTGCTTAAAGAAACACTAAGCTTTTCAAGGTCCTTTTTGATCGCTAGTCATGAGTGGTAAAGAACACATGCTTAGCGTGTGCGTAGTTTTTACGCTTTTGCGAACAGTTTGCTGGTAGAGTGCCACCGGAATGTTTTGATGTTTATTTGTGCGGGTAAACAACCATAGCCTAGAAAACTTGCTTGACTATTTGATTTGAATTGAACCAATCAAATATTGGGTGGTTCTGTGTGAGAAAAATGAAGGCATGAGACTCTTTTACTGTTCATTATTAGTTTCACTTACAACAGTGTGTATGATGATGATCACATCTCAGTCCAGGGTGTTTACAAGCTTGAGTCCATCCAAACACTAAAGACTGTCACTCTCCAAAGGCCCTACTTCCAGACGAAATCAACCCTCAGTAACGACAGTGTTTGACTGATCCTCGGAAGTGTATTTCATTCCATCCCGAAGCCATCGCCTAGCACAGGATGTTAAATCTGGTTGGTCGTTTGAATAACTGACCTAATCATAAGTGCTCTCAAAGTCATCGCTTTCCTTCTGGGGGAAAAACCACTCGTTTCCAGAGCGTTTACAGTTGACATATTCACTGGCTTTAGGAACACAGCTCTAATCGCATTAATGACAACTGACATATGCATGTGTTATGGTACATTTCAATGCCTCCCCCAGCATCGATCGAAACAGAATACACTTTTTTGCGTCCGTAGTCGATGCACTGAGACTTTGTTAGTGATTCTCCAATCTGATTATCATTACAGAATACGAATAGAGCCGGAACTAGTAGCAGTCACGTGCTCGCAAAAAAATTAGGCCGTGAGTGTGGTGCTAACTAACTTGAGTTCCCGGACTATTCTGTCCGGGTTTGCGATTATCACCTTTTTGGGTGGAAAAACGGAAGCATTCATTTGAACGTTGGAAAACTTCATACTTTTGTTTCACAAAGTATTTAGTCCTATGGAGTTTTGAATGTTGATTGAATAACTTATAACTGCTGAAAACTCTTCAACAGCCCACGACCTTTTTCGCTCTTCTTGGGGCTCATCAGGTAGATGCAGTCCCCGAGTTTCCGTTAACCTTGTCTTCTCCTTGAAGAAAACCATGAACGAGAGATACGGTTGGGTCTCTTGTGAAAACCAAAATGATATGCAAATTACTGTATTTATCTAAAACTAAATTTGGCAACATTACGGGACATTAAAATGCCTTTATCGATTTGGATGTAGAGTTTTGTTCTGACTGAAATTAATCAATGAAACAATCGTTTGCATTTAACAACGAACCGCAACTTTTGGAAATATACAACTGTATTTCTGTAAGGATTGGGGTGGGCACTTAAGGTACTCTAACTGAACAGTTTACATCTAATGTGTCGGTATCCTCAAAACCTTTGTAGATTGGGCACCCACACTTATGATGTAACCGTTTGAACCAGCCGCTACTCGAGAACGACGCTTCGTCTGAAAAGGTCACACCATAGGCCATAAAATTTCACGTTCCCACACTTTTGCCAACTGTCCTTGTCGGTCATACACACTGTGCATGGAATATAATACCGCTGGAAAAACTGTACGAAAAATTAATCTGTTGTGCCCATTCCCACGCCTATTTTCTCTGTTTGCGCGCACCCAAAAACACGTAGGCCTGGAGCGACGGACGCACACTATCTTGCACGTGTGTTTGCGCGCGCAAGCGTAGACAAGTGATGAGGATGATGAGTTTGCCCCATGTCCAAGGGGTGAGAAATAGTATCTGGGTTGGGAGAGGGACTTACAGCTGGTGCGTCGTTCGGACGGCGTGGGAAAATGGTGAAAAATGTTCGTCTTCGCTGTTTGCTGGGAAACGAGACCCATCAATTTCCCAACAAACGACGACTTGGTATGTACACGTTCCACTCCACTCGACATTCACACAACACACGGGCACCTGGTTTTCTCTGTAATGGAGATGTTGCTTTCACGAGTATGTGTGCGTAAACATTAACGAATCGGGGACATGAATAGTGTGTCTGTAGCATGCCCCCACACTGCCCTCAACAGCTTGCCACCAGCTATCACCATGTAAGCTGGCAGTAACTTTTCAAGTCACAGCTTATCTGGGGAACTAGAACGTTAATCGAATTCGCAACCTGCTGAGACGCGGAATTTTATCAAGCTTCATACAGTACCCCGGTTCTGTGATCTTTGGTCGGCTGTCTTCATTTGGCCCTTGGAAATTTCTATACTGGGTAAGTTAAATTCTGATGCCTAGGTTTCCACACAAGACCGTTATCGAAACTCAAAATGCTCCGTGTCTAGGACCAGATAGCGTGAGATCTTCTCTTCCCTGGTAGTCGTGTTCAAGACTTGACCATTTGCCTGTCCAAACCGCAGTCACCACTTGCCATGAGCATTTATTCTCGGGGACAGTGGGGATTTCGATAGCAGGAACTGCACTCCTGAACTTGGTAAATCATTTTTATCTTAAGGAATTAACCTTCCCCTGTTTTTACCTCTTGTCGCCTTTCATCCGCACTCAGACACACCTTGAATCCAACAGATAGATTTCCCTAGCCGAATCTCGCGTCTAAATTGGTCGTCTCTATTGTCAGCTTCATCCACTCTTCCGAGCTTACACGTTTCATCTGGTACAATTTGGCATACTTTCGTATACAGTCGTCCAAGGAATCTATACAGTTTGGATTAAGTTTGTGGGTTTCGACATAGCTCTTATTTGAGCCTATTTTCTTTGACAACCATGGAAATCTGGCATGGGCAACTGATGTCAACCGACTTGTTGTAGGAAGGCATATCAACCATAGACTATTGACCACACATAGCATCATTCAGACACTCGAATCCCACCACAATCCGCATGGAATCACTCAGCTCGGCACGTCTGTCCATTGGAGAGCTGTCCAACAGTTCAACATAAAATCGTAAAAAAACAAAGGTAATAGAAGCGAATTAGAAATGTAGTCTCTGGAGGGGAAGAGGAGCAAACGAGTATCAGTTTAATCAGACTCTCCACATGAGGACTGACAACCATATCTTGTGGAATGAAAAATTACAACAGGAAGTAGCAACCCAGTGGCTTTCCGGCTATTCACAAACTAATCGAGCGCTCTGTTTCTGAACTGTGCCCTTCTATCTATGTCTTGCGTGACTCAAATTATTCAATATTTGGCAATGGTTGTCTCAAGCTTCCGAAAAGCAAGACAGAACATCTCCCTTCGGAAGAATAGGTCTGGATCTATAGAACACTTCTTTACAGAATAGTAGTACCATAACAGTAAGGGGAATGTTTACTTTCCTCTTTACTCCGACATATTCGCACTTATGCATCATTCAATCTTGTGTTTGCGGCACATTACTGACCCGTACTCTGGAGCAATCATTTCTTTAGTTCTTTTCTCAGTAGTGTCTGTTGATAGTCTTAGCAGATCTGGAAGACCTTGATTGAGCTGTAAGTGAAGTCAACCTGTTCCGAAAAGCTGAGACGCTCTGTGTAGCTGTTTTATTTTTGCTAGGTTGGAACTCACAAAACTCCCGAGATATTCTAACCGGCGACCTTTCGGGCTAGTAGCTGAAGAGGAAACCATCTGGCCAGGAGCGGTTGATCGGCAATGTGATTAGCTGGAACTTATGCGAACAAGATATAGCGCCACTCATCCCTCAGTTACGCGATCATACCATAAGGTCGCGGAATACGTGGCTCCTTGAGTGACAGGGCTAAAGTTCCTTTGAAAATTCTAATAATTCCTCATTTTACTAGCACTTCCTAAGAAGCTGAAAAGTCGTCACTTTAGAGGCCGTTCAACATGTGATCGTGTGACTGAAGAATGGGTAGCACTATATTCTGTTTGTCAGAGTGTTAACTAAGCGTGCCACTAAACAGCCGCTCGTGGCCGAATAGTTTTGCCTTCTACTACCATCCGTCGGGTGACGAGTTCGAACCTGTCTCTGGAGGTTCGTGACGTGCACACTCCTGATGAATCCCGAAAAGATGAAACTGCCGTACGGTACTTCTCAGCTTTTCGGCACTGACTGAATTTATTGGATGAACGAAAGCTCATTTGGGCGGTTTTCGTTCATCAGCCAGATTGTTCCTCTGATCGCTCCTAGTTTAGTTGCAGTAGGACTTCATTGGCATGCCAGCAGTTATCCTCCCCTCATGGTTGGATTTGAATAACCACACACGTCCGCATAACCTGCGAGGACGTATTTCGTGGCCAGACTGACTAAAGGTCACATGAACATATCCATATCCAAGCGCCAACGACTGTTGTCCGTTTTTCATTATTCACCCATCTTCAAATTTAAGTAGAATTTCTTGGTAGTTTTAGCTGCTCAACCTAGTTTTCAGTGCGTCAGCTGGCTAGTGAATGTGTTTAGTCCGCCTAGAATGTCACTGTCCTTGAGTCAAATATGGGCCTTCCATCGTGACCTCTAGAGCTTCGATATACCGGTCACATGTATCGTCTCATGTGAATTCGGAAAACTGTGATCCTCGAAACGAAACTTACATAACAACTACGTATGTCAACTGACAGAACCTGATAGTACGACTGACCATAATGGGGTGTGTGCAGATTTGTGGACTGGATGAGTGTTCTGCTATGAACGTCGGACAGACTAGGTACAGCGAACTCATCCACTGCAACACAGGGACTGCAGTTACATCTAGCCAACGTAACGAAGAAAAATATCACGACAGATTATGGAGAAGAGTTTTTGTCCGCGAAGTCGTTCGTCGCTACTGACTGTATCTGATTTTGTAAAAGAATGTAAAAAGGTTTAATGTAAAGATCTAATGTATACAGGATACTTATCATACGTTCAGTTAAACGCCAGAATGTAGAGTTCACCATAACTTTGCTTCTTCAATGAAAAAGGAGTGATGTTGTCATGAAACTGGTCCGCATGCAGTTGTTATTCCATACTTCTTAGCTGGTGGTCGCATGGACGGATCAGTCTTCCAACTATTCATGAGTGAACACTCTTAAACATCTACGTTCCTTGGAGTGGATTCAAGTGGTGTCTAGAGTTACCGATTGTTTCATTTATTGTGCTCGCGGATCCCTGAACTTGCCCACAATCCATTTTCTAAAACGTCTGCTAGTGCCGATTTGCGATAGGTTTGGGAATACACCGCAGCAGTTCATTCGATTGCTTTATGACGATAGCAGTGGGAACACTCCGTGGTATTGACATTCATAGTAAAAATAGCCACGAAGATCCAAAATCAACTGAACCATACATTAGATGAGTCGATCAGAAACAAGCGGCGACTTTACACGTCTCGCAACTGTTGCATCATAGGTTCTGACTTCGTATTCCTCCTTGGGTGCACGAGTGTCTTTCATCTTGCTATACTGCGTGCGCTCACAACGGCTACATGAACTTGTTATATCTCGAAAGAAAGAATCCAGTCATTCGTTTAAAGAAGTCCAACGTTTTGATAACCAACGGCCATGCTGACCGAAGAAAAAACGATGACAATACTAACGGAACTGAGGGGAACGTTGAATCATTGATGAAATTAGTTTCTGCAATGAAGCGGCTAAACAACATAGGAGTGCACGCCCTTCGACTTTATCCGGATTATGGCTTTTCATGGTTATTTCGACCTGAGGAAAACGACTCTCAGACAGCCGCCTTGATTCCCTGGGTACAGTCTCTTTGTTATACTCTGTCGAAGTGTCTAATCCTTCTGCAAGTGCGCCACTTGTACTCTAAGCATTGCCATGACTGAAAGTATTTGCCTTTGAAAGACAAAGCTGATATAAACAGTGAAAAACAACGTAATCCCATTGATCACAGAACTGAAAACAAAATTTCTTGGGATCCAGTTACATCTAGTTGAATATAAAGTCGTAAAAGCCAGGCAGCCGTTACGGCAACTACAAGGAAAGTATTTTTGACTGGTATTCCCAAGGGGCAGCCTCCTCACCCGCAGTATTTTTCATTAGCTACAATTACATCTGTATTATCCTCGAACGACCTCCTTAAGGATGCAATATATTCCCTTTTCTACTCATTGCTCTTTACTGAGAGGTATGTATAACCACTATTTGATAATCAAGTCTGTTTTAATGGTTCCGTAATTAAGATCAGGATCACGTCTAACGGGACAAACGCTAACAGAGTAATAACTCAACTATGGAAACTGGACTCTTCCGTTTTTGAAAACGGACGGGATGATTTGATAATCAAGTCTGTTTTAATGGTTCTGTAATTAAGATCAGGTTCACGTTTGACGGGACAAACGCTGACACAGTAATAACTCAACTGTGGAACCTGGACTCTGCCGTTTTTGAAAACGGACGGGATAACCTTATCAGTGCTTCGTGGAATAGCGGTACATTGGTTGGTGGGTGCATCATTCACGTCATGTGACCGCAGCTATGTGGCTGTTGACTTGTGGTATTCAAACGTGTACTTTGCTCCTGTAGCCACTGTAGTACCTTGTTATAGTTTCTAGAAGGATATCTTAATTCCTTTTTTCGTCTCAGTCCGTACCAAGCTATGGATCAACCCTTCGAACGCTATATGTTCATTATCTTTGTGACCAAACTCTCCTCCAGGAGCACATTTCTTCTGTCATGGTTACACTGAACATAATGAGCGAAACGTGTAGTGAAATAAACGATTCGACTGTCGATTTGATGTTTTCGTTTAATCGTCTTGCGTTCCCTGTGATAGTCTTCCAGTCAAGTTTCACCCTAACTTGGAGCTGGCATGTTTACTACGACTGTCACAGTCGTAGTAACACTATATCATCTCTGAATTGTTTCCCTTCAAAAATCGAATTTGATTAAACGACGTGTGTGCTAAACACAGGTTTCATAGCACTATCCATTGGTCAGCACAAGTATCGCTCCTTTTGCTGTCACCGTTAGCGTCGATGTCATGGTGAAGTCATGCGACCACTCGTGTGTGACGTCTAGTTCTCATACTTCCGCGTATCACCTGAAAATAGCTTGAGGTCACATGGATGTCGTTACAGCCCTACATAGTCAGACGTCAGCGAATTCTTCGGAGTATCGTTACACAAGCTATACATACAGGTGTGCATCGGCTTGTGAATTGTAACGTACTGTCACTTCTGTTTTAGGTACAAATCCAATAATTTGGCCGAAATTCACTTTTGTACTAGCGAAAAAGCATTCGTTTTGTGGCGGATTCATATATTTTGCTCGAAATCAGTTAGCCACTGAAATGCATATCAACTTGTCAGCTTCTGTATTTGGTGTAGTACGTGGCTCGACAGAGCGTAGAACCCTTACTACAAGGAACGAAAAGAGTACCGTTATTGTACGAACTACAAACGTCTGAAATGCTTGTCAGCTTCTGTATTTGGTGTAGTACGCGGCTCGACAGAGCGAAGAAGCCTGACTACAAGGAACGAAACGGATTACCGTAATTTCGCATGCATTATTGCATTGTACGAATTACAAACGTCTAAAATTGATAGGGAACAAAAATGCAGCATATGTTATAAACACGTTTCCTATGGTCCCTGAAGTTGAGAATGATACAAACGGTTTCTCGAAAGTTATTACGAGTCCTCTCTATTTAAGGTGCAATGCTTGAAGACTTGAGTGTCACCGTTGAACCGGTCTCTCATCTGCATGATAAATTGGTGTCCACTTGAGACTCAACAGATCTTCCCATTTATGCTGTTCTTTTGCGTAACTCAAAGACACTGGGTTTCACGTTGTTTGGTCCCGATCAGTAATGGGAGGTCACTTATGATTTGAGTACAGTGGAACCAAATGCTTCACCGAAAATTGCCGGTTTAGGAAACACTGATCACCTAAGGTTCTATGGATGTATCTGTGTCGATGGATCGATTATTCCATACTGGATGGATTGTACAGGTGGTGAATAGCTCACCTACCCGACGGTATTCCGGGTACGGAGCCCACATCGTGCTGGTGTGGAAGCCGCGCTTCACATTTACGTGTGACGGAAACAAACCACTGCGCTCTCCGCGTTTCTCGCTTTCGGGCCACAAATGTGCGAACGGACGGGGCGCTTCGTTGATCTCAGAAGCCCTGGGCACGAGGAGCTTAACGACAAGACATAGCCAAGTTGTAACGCGGGCGCAGCCAGAGTGGTCAGTGTTACAGCGAACGAAGGAACGAAGATAATCTTGTATCGATGCCTTAAAGTATGCTTCGGGAACAAACCGGTGAGGCCAGAAGCAAGCCCCTCCATCAATGATAAAGCGGATAAAGACTGCTTTGCCTTAGGAGTATTAGTCTTCTGGACAGTGATATCTTTACTTCACCCCGAAAACTACTCTGATGACTCGCAGCACACGATTTTCTCAGCCTAGTAACACAATATCGGTGTTGTTGCTCTTCGACTAACTACTAACCTTTTCAAATGAAATTCCGTAAGAGCTTAGACTGGTTTGGTATTCAGAAGATCAACGAGGTTAAGAAGGATAATTTTCTTTGAAATGAAGAAGTTTGAGAAAAAAATTAACTGTGGCGTTCTAGGGATGAGGGCCGCCGACTCAGTGATCATGCGACCAGCGATCAAAAGCAGAGTTTTAGAACAGTATGCGCGGAGAATCAGTGAGCATCGGTTACCAAGGTGTCTGCAAAGCACATGAATTCGTGTGTGGGCAGCACTCATGCATGCAGAGCTAAAATATGATTCTACTCTCTGTTGAGCTGGTGAGTGTTACTCAGATCAGTTTCTATCATACAGTGCCGATGAAAACCAATGCCAACTTTCGGGGTTAACCGGGATAGGAAGGGTCTGAAAGTCTGAAGAAAGTCAGTTTAGAATGACAGCTGAATGAACAAGGGAGATTTTTGGACTGATAACTACAACAGTAGAAAACAAGTTTGTAATCGATATTGCTGAATATGGGTAGCTCCGGTGCGCTGCTTGGTTTTCGGTCTGTTTGGTAAGCTCGTTAAAGACAAACAACCAAGCTCGTGTCCATTAGGCCCATAGAAATGAGGGTCTTGGGAACAAACACTGACTTGTCCCATTACAGTTTGATAAATTGATCTGAACAAGGTCAGTGAATAGACCAGTCACACACTCGACGTGTGAATACAGCACTGCTGACTTCCAACCTCTGTAAGGAGCGGGATCTTATCGGTACCGTGGGGTCTTCAGTGTTGAGTCACGGTACTGTCTACAGTGACCTCGTCTGGAATAGCCAGCTAAAGGGGCTGAACAAAGGGGGTAGCTTTTATAAAGTATAACCCTTTGGATGGATCGTATTCGTCAAAATGTGTTTTTGGAACCAGGCACAGTAGTTCATTCGGAGAGATTATACCTCCAGACCAAGACAAACTGTACGGCATACTGCAGACAACCAACCTGGCGGTAACTCAAGGTAGGCGAGTCGCCTGGAAGTTTCACTCCATTGGTCAATAAATCACTAGGTTTAAACTATCTTTAGTAGTGCTTTGAGCCATAGGAATCAATCAGATGGTGCATGCATCTCATCACTGTCCGGCAATTTTGGTCCTGAGGTTGGGTTACGCCCAAACAACAACTGTGGGTCTTTTTACCGTGGACAGTCTTGCCTGTTCAAGTGTCCAGTTTTCCTTTTATTGTTCTCTTTTTCACTGCGTTTGGTCAGGTCAAAAAGGTTCGATCAATCTAGTCGCACAAACGCTAAAACGGGCCTAAAATTGACCCAAGTGTTACTCCTGTCCTGTTCGTGCTCATAGCGAGTCTGGATATTAATATGATTCGACTGTGCTCAATTATCGGAGCATAGGTTCGAAACTGTTTGCTCACTAGTTTGAACGAAATGATAAGTACAGAATCTCACCAAATTGCTGCATTAAAACTGTCTGTTGTGACCAATCACCACATCGATTTTCAGCATTGTCACTGCGGTCTAGCGGAGTCAGTTCAATGGGGTTTGACTTCAGAGCTTTTCTCGTTTGAGTGAAAGTTCGATTTGCCGTAAAGGTCCAAATGAGCAAACCTGAATCATATTGCCTAGAACGTAGTCGGCGCCCTGGTACATCTAATTGGCTTTATGACAAACCAATCCGATTTTACGATCATCAGCACACTGAAACAGGCTGATTGATGTTTACCACGGACTCACACGATGACACGTGTATAGTGGAAGCTGCACCGTGAGAACGATAGAGCGCACACATTTGGGTCTGTTGCTGCTTCATTATGGGTGTTGCTTTGTCATCGCTGGCCAGACAAAAACGTGGCGAGGACTGAATCGATGATCGAAAGCCGCACTGACCAATACACCGAAAGCACACTCGCTTAGGCGCCGTATTTGACAGCCTTGTGTGAGCACACTTCACGTGTGCACGCTCCCCCACCCACCTACACCAACAGACCAACTGATTTCGTCTTGTCAAGGTCCCGCTATACTGGGCTGAACTATATTAGCTCTTGGATCGCCGCATTTAGTACATCGGTTCTCGTCTGGTGCGCGCGTTGCTGTCTCTAGTCTGACTCAGGATTGACGCCAGTGGTGGTCAAGTCGATTGACCTCAAATGGAGAAAGCATTGGGAGTTACATTTCTCGGGCAAAGTACCTTCGCTCCATTACCGTCCGTCTCCTCAGTTTATCGTAAGTCACCTTCACTATTTGTGCCCCAAACGACTAAATGATTTAGTCAGTTTATGTTCGAATATTTACATATCTGTAGTTCATAGTATCCTGTGTCTAGACGCATGGCTCAATTAGCAGCAAACATTTCTATGCAGTTAACTGAGTCGTTGACGGTGAAAGAATGAACGTTTTCTTCCAAAGTTTTTAAAAATGTCTCCTGTAGTAATTCGATATTTACGTTCAACGAGTAGTGGTCTCAGTGTTTACTGTTTTCCCAGCTTCTTTCGAATGAGATCAGGACATTAGCCAAACACTCGTCGTATAACCCCTGGATCTTCAAGCAAGTTGCTTGCCTTAGGGATTTAGTAAGGATGGCATTGAATACCCGATATTAATTCACCTAATTATTGCATATTTCACCATTCACATCTACAGAAAGTTTGTGGCGTTGGGGCTAACAACGATAGTGATAGTCATTAGGTTGCCTACTGACAGTGCGAAATGAGCCTGACAGCCAAAGTCAGTATAGCAGGTGACACGGTTTTTCCATGTGAATATGAAACATAGCCCGTCGAAACACAGTAATTTCAACGTAGACTCTGAAAAGAAGTAATTCTGTACTGGTGGAGTTGCGTGAATTCTTGAAAGGGTTAATCGTTTTTTGTGTGGATTCGTAGTATCAGGTTATTATGAAGCGCATTAGTTCCCTTCCTTCATGAGTTACTGAAGACCGTACCGTATGCTTTATCCTATTCACGAGCAAGCTCCGTGTTTGGTAGAAATCATTTAACTAATTGGCAATCGAGAAACTCTACGGTGTGTTGACTACGTGGATATGAATAACCAGTCTGGTACGGCAATGGGTTCCTTTAAATTTCCAGACCTTATTGACCGACCTCAGTAGTACACCATTTTCTGACTGTACTTCATTGTGTACACGAGTTCAAAGCTCGGGCTTAATCGTTCATGTCATGGATGGAAATGGGAGCCGTAAGGCAGATCGGTCGACCGAACCGGTATATTTAACAGGCATGTAAGTCTATCCTGGAACGCCGTATCATCAATGAGACACTAAGATGCAATAGCTATCGTGAAAAGTAGGCAATCGAGAAACTCTACGGTGTGTTGACTACGTGGATATGAATAACCAGTCTGGTACGGCAATGGGTTCCTTTAAATTTCCAGACCTTATTGACCGACCTCAGTAGTACACCATTTTCTGACTGTACTTCATTGTGTACACGAGTTCAAAGCTCGAGCTTAATCGTTCATGTCATGGATGGAAATGGGAGCCGTAAGGCAGATCGGTCGACCGAACCGGTATATTTAACAGGTATGTAAGCCTATCATCAATGAGACACCAAGATGCAATAGCTATCGTGAGAAGTCGACTGAGCATCCTCGAGCTGAGACAACATCAAGAACAAAAGCTAGGAATTCCACTTCATCTAGCTGAGAAGGGAAGCGTCACAAACACGTGTATCGAAAAAAGTGCGAATGCCGCAAGCTGCAAAGTTGGGACTGTTGTTGAATGGACTACACCGTTACTGCCGCTCAAAACAGCGCGACCCTTAAAGATGTTTATTCATTCGCCTGCACTTGTTGCTTAAACTAACTTACGTATGATGAGTAAGACGGACCAAAGCATGAGGACTGTGCTCTACTGATTTATTGATTGAAGCCCCAGTAAGCGCTTGACGTGAAATTAGCTTATTGATTTAGTGTACTCAATCATCAAGCATCTGCACTGGTAACAGTGAAACTCACTGACTTTTACAGTCAGTCGTTTCCTCGTTTCCTCATGCTACCATACCTGCGCACAAGTCGTCCGTACTGCCATTCCGGCAAAATTGCAATTGTCCTTTCTGGAGTCGGACGCTGCTCATATCCTAAAACTCACCAAAAAATCGTCTTCCTTCCATCCGCATCACACTCATTACTGTTTTTCTGGTCGAGTTTTTCTGTAATCTTTTCACTATGCAGCAAATTTTTCTGTAGATGGAGGGTACCCGCCCGGCTGTAGACTACCAGTTCAATGTTAGGGAAAGTAGCTCATCGCTGTTTGACCAAGTTTGACAATCTAGACCATGGGTAGTGGTACAAACTCGAACGCAAGCCCCAGTGGCGTATCACTAAATTAAGTTGGAATGGAATGCCTCTATTGATGCATTCAAGAGATATCGACTACCGAAGGAAAAGCCTGGGTAAACCAATCGCGTGTGACGGACGCTGGTGACTAATCAGATATTGATACAAACATGAAATCACTTTCGGGAAGTACACTCATTTACAAACTAATTCGGCTCTGACGGTGGATTCAACCGTATCCCAGCTGAATCTCTCGTTTATAACATTCTTCAGATGAATGTGCTGTACAGAAGCCGCCTCAGGTTTTAGTCGTCATGATATTCGGGATATCGCACCATATTTTCTCGAGGGAAGGCTACTTACAAGGTTGCTGAAGGTTGTACGACAGCCTACCACTGTTTTCGCCCTTCTTGGAGCTC